AGATAACTTTTTGACTTTTTACGAAAAATGTATATTAAAATGTTGTATAAAATGACAAAATTATCATTTTATCCCTACTATATGTAAATACCTACTGACTTGGATTGTACTGGAAGCCAGTCGGTTGGTAGCAAACATTATAGGAGCATATTGCCTACAGTCCAAGATCAGACTGAACAATGCTATTCGGCCATGGGGGCGTACCACGGGTCCCGTTTTAATAATCGAAACCGTTGAATATGTAGAACTCGTCAAGTACTATATATTTGCAAAATATCACATTGATTGAATAACGATAGCTATCTGATTAGATTAGTTTTTTTTGTCAACCATTAATTTCTTCAACGTCCATTTTGTTATATAAAACTGATTTGATCATATAATTATCGATATCCGATCAATAAGATTTTTTACAGGCATATAGTATCCAACGAGTTTTATATATTGCACAGTTCAGATTATCAAAACAAGACCCGTGATGGGCCCCCACGGGCTGAACAACACTGTCCTGTGTAACTTTTTTTAACACCGCCGGGTAAAATTTGTAGCATCAGTTGACAGTGTACCATCACTGCACACTGTCCTATGTAACAACACTGTCATGATTTTATATATATATATATATATTGTTTTGTGAATAGTGATAACTTTTTGACTTTTTATCTCATTTAAGACATGACAAACCAGACCTTAATTTTATAATATTTTGTTTCTACCTACCTGAATCATTTATATTGTCGACTTATATATCCGGCCCACTGGCACGAGTCCATTAACCCCTGACAAATTTACTCCTCTTTGAAGCTTATCTTTGTACTTTCAACTCAATTTTTTTTTCTTTATTAAATTTTTAAAATTTTAATTAAATATTTTTACTTGAAGTTCAAAAAAATTAAAAAAAAAAAAGAAAAAGAAAAAGAAAAAGAAATTCAAACCCGACCTGAGCAGTTGGCCTTCGAATTCCACGGAATATAAATTTTGAATGGGATTGAAATAAAACTTGACAATAACACCTTTCATGAGACCATGAGCCTTAGTAAAACCACTCCATTGGCCTTGCAACCTTCTTTGCTTCTCATCATTCTTTATCGCCACCTCAAACACCCATTTTCTTCCAGTTTGATCTTTTACAACCACCACTTCTTTGTTTTCTTCCGGTAAATTAGTTGCGTAACGCGGTACCTCCAAGATGGTTTTGGTAGCATCTGACATCGAGAGTGTCTTCTCAAAGCAAAAGTACATTCTTGAACTCATTCTCCAAGTCCTAATCAAATAAAAAGATGTTTTAATTAATTAAAAGTATGTATGTATGTATATGCGAAGAATAACAACATAAATTAATCCAAAAAAGGTACACGTGTGTTTTGAGTTCTCACGTTATAAAAACAAACAAAAGATCAATTGATAAAAAAAGGGCCGACAGTATACTAAAGCCAAAATATAAAGCTGACTGACTGGTAAGAGAGAGAGAGAGAGAGAGAGATTAGTTACATACTCTAACCTTTGATTTGCTTTGAAAGATTTGAGTGAGCGAGTGAGTGGTAAGCGAGGTTAGTATTAATAGGGAGAGTGGTGACCTTAATTTCATGCTGTTAATTAATTAGTTTATTGTTTTGTTGGGGTCATGTCGTAGTGACAATGTGAGTGAGTGAACTTAACCAGTTTTGATGGGGTCATTTTGATGTGATGTGTTAATTAGTTTTTTATTAGTTAAAATAATGTGATTCACTATTTTTTTTATTGCATATTGAAAAAAAAAAAAAATATTAGAAAAGAAGTGATAGTGTCAAAAAATTAGATTCCCTTTTAAAATTGAATAATGTGACGGGTGTGGCTATTACTGGGCCAAATCTCAAGGTCTAACCTATCATCTCACTTACACACCATTAAATTAAAAAAAAAATTTATAAAATACTAAATTTATATATTATTTTCCTATAAATAATGTGGAGTATTATTTTAAAATCACTAAATAAACTGTCACGTGAGTGCTTATGTCAAAGCTAATTACTTGCATTTATTATTATAATAATAATAATTTAAAAACGACAATATTGGCTTTTTTTATGGGATCTGCATGGTCTTCAATACAAGAATAATATGAAACTTGTTAAGATAAGTTACATTAATTTTTCTTGAAGTTTAATGAATTGTAAAAAATTTTTGTAAAATGTTTAAACTAATTTAAAGCTTCCTTGAGGTTAATAAAATTGTTAAAATGATATAAATCTTTCTTAAAGTTTAGTTTTCAAAATTTCTAAAATGACAGGTTTGATTTTTTATTATAAAATCTCTCATCTATTATTTAGATGTTATCAATCATTGTGTTGGATTAGTCTATTCAGAATTTTAATCTAATTTTAATTGGATCCCTACTAGTGGACGGTGAGATTAATCCTTCAAAAATTAGTCGATATATGCATAAATTGATTCGAACACTAAATATTAAATAATAATAATAATAATAATAATATATTGACTTGGAATATAAACCATCACAAAAAGCAGCTTTTGCGACGACAACGTATGTCGTTGCAAAAAGTTCCGTGTCATATACCCCTTTTTTCTAGTAGTGAAACTGTGTGCTCCATCCCAGGTTGGGTTAACCTCAGTTAATCGACCATGATGGATTGGTCAGGTTAGGAAAGGGCTCTATTGGTCACATCAGTGCTCTCTCCACCAATTGAGTTGCTCGACTGATCTTTTAAGAGCTTGTTTGGGAAGACAATTTGGGCTAAAATAGCCATATATGACAAAATAGACTATTTCAGTCAAATATGACAAATTTCTCATCTAATCCATAATCACTTCATTTTTTCTCTCACAAAAATTAAAAAAGTCAAAAAATCTATTCCAAACGAGACTTTTTAGTGCCAGACTAAAATAGCTAAAAAGTCAAAAACTAACTCACATTCCAAATGAGCTCTAAGATGGGTTTAACTTTCCACTAGGTTGATCGCATCATGGCCGAAGCCCTCTTGAGTCTTTCCTAATATCTTTAGGCTTGGGCCATATGGTATTTATAGACATAAAAAAGAATAACTTAAATATCAGTTTAATTCTTAAATTAAAATTAAATTAAATTAATAAATTAAAAAAATAATTGTGTTTGTGAAAAATTATGCGTATATAGATGACAAAAAAAAAAAAGAAAACAGAAAAAAGAAGGGCAAATTACATATACACCCCTCCAGGTTTGGTTAAATTACAGATACCCCCCTGAGGTTTCAGAAATTACATCCCGCCCCCTGAGGTTTGTATTTTCATAACAATTTACCCCCTGAGGTTTATATTTCATAACAAATTACCCCCTAATTTCTTATGCAAATATAGCATTCAGGGGGGAATTCGTAATTTCTCAAACCTCAGGGGGTATCTGTAATTTTGTCAAACCTGGAGGGGTGTATATGTAATTTGCCCAAAAAAGAAAGATGAATCTGACAAAGCTGGCAACTTTTTTTTTGGGGGTAAGTAATTAAAAAAACAAGCGGCAACTGTAAGGTCTCATTTGAAAACTTGGCTATTTTAGTAGGCTATTTTAGTTATTTGTTATTTTATTAGACTAAAATATTTGTATTTGGAAAAATAGTTGTTTTTTTATTTTTTTTATTTTTTTAGTTGGATGCAATATTTGTGAAAGAAAAAGTGAAATGATAATGGATTTAATATGACATTTTATCTTATTGATTGTTTTAACTTATTTTGTTTTTTTATAAATTTTAGTCCAAAAAAAAAAAAAAAAATCTTTGCCAAACAAACCTTAGACTCGTTCTATAAAACACACATAAATCAACCTTAAATCATGACTCTTTAGACAAATAAATGCTTTGCACCCTCACACAAATATCAAACTCTTTGCACTCTATTTTTAATCATTGAGAAAACGATTTTGTATAGCTTATAAACGAGTGAAATAGGACTTTGGATGGGTTCAACTAAAGCCCATTCTGCTAACTTTGACTTTTTGATTTTTTTTAAAATTATATCACATTTTTACTTTTTTATACATTAAAAAAAAAAAAAATCAAAACTCAACTTTTAACCTATTTTCCTAAACAACTCTAAATTTATTCTTATTCGAGTGGGTCCTCCTTCTATTGCGCATGCTTTGGTGTAAAGGAAAAAACTAAATTTATTTTCATTATTATAATGATTATCTAAATCACCTATCTTATCTTATCATCTAATGTTCGGAATCTTTAAAAGTAGCTAAAATTTTGAAAAATTATTTTTCTAGAAAAAAAAAAATGATAAGTGTTTCAACTAATTCATTATTATAGGCACAGAGAAGGAAAAAAAAAAAAAAAAGAAAAAAGTTAAAAAAGGAAAGGTCACTTTGCACAACGACATTGACCAGAATCTTTAAAAGTAGCTAAAATTTTTAAAAATTATTTTTCTAGAAAAATAAATATGATAAGTGTTTCAACAAATTCATTATTATATGCGCAAAAAAGAAAAAAAAAGTCACTTTGCACGACAACATTGATTCATTGGGGGTGTTTGGCAAAGGCATTTTTTAGTTTTTTGAGCTAAAATTTATAAAATGATAAAATAAGTTAAAATAATTAATAAGATAAAATGTCACATTAAATTTATAATCTTATTATTTTTTTTCTCACAAATATCACATCTAATTACAAAAAATTTAACTATCTTTTCAATTATAAAAATTTTAACCTACTAAAATAATCAAAAACTAAAATAACTTACTAAAATAACAATTTATTAAAAACCCACATTGTTTGCAAAATGTAAAACACACATGATATGAAAATATGATATGATAATAAAAACAAACCAAAGCATATTGCAAGCACGTCCACTGATATATATAGGATAACAGGTTACTGGATTCAGCAACAACAGCTCACATTGATCCTTAGATGAAACCCAAAAAAAAAAGAAAAAAATAGTAGAAGACAATTCCTAAACTTATTCTGACTTTAACTGAAACGAGAAATAAACTTCTTGTTGCAGGTCCCTCATTTTGTCCTTATAACTTAGTGATAGAGCTGAAGAGTCGGGATGCGGTTATGGCCTTCATATTCGGCAGAATATGAATTGCGAGTGGGAAAGTAACGAAGCTTCAGTGTTTCTCCTACCTCCAGTTGATTATGGTTTGCAAATTCAAGCCATTTTTCGCGTTCCAACAGCCTTTTATTACCATCACCACCACCTATTGTTGTCTGAAACTCCCAATACTTTCCAGTTTGATCCCACACAACCATGATGGGCTGGTTGTTCTCATCAAGTGAATAACTTGCAGTCAGTGGTATATCCAACGTGCCGGTAAAATCTTCTTCGGAGAGCTTCTTCTCAAAGCTTCCCGTCCTTGAAGTAATTCTCCAACCACTAAACAAGGTAAACGATGTGATGATGAGTCAAATGCATATGTTATGTTGTTAAAAAAATAAAAAAAATAAAAAAGAAAAATGAAAAAAGAATTGAATATATTGTATATGTGCATAAAATAACATAAATTCATCCCAAAAAAAAAAAAAAAAAGAATGAAAAGAAAAGACAATAAGAGTTTTAGAGCGAAAGAGATAGAGAGAATATATAAACTAGTAGCCTCATTCACACAGAGGAGGTAGATGAAAAGAGGAGAGAATATGTAGAATAATTTAGAGAGAGAGAGGGGGAATTGTTTGGGATATTCTAAATAAGTGTACTTTTTAGACTTTTTAGACTAAAAAGTAGGGAGAAAAAATATGATTGTTTGAGATAACTTTTTGACTTTTTACGAAAAAAATATGTATTAAAATGTTGTATAAAATGACAAAATTATCATTTTACCCCTACTATATATAAATACCTACTGACTTGGAACATTATAGGAGCATATTGCCTACAATCCAAGATCGGACTGAACAATGCTACTCGGCCATGGGGGCGTACCACGGGTCCCGTTTTAATAATCGAAACCGTTCAATATGTAGAACTCGTCGAGTACTATATATTTGTAAAATATCACATTGATTGAATACCGATAGCTATCTGATCAGATTAGTTTTTTTGTCAACCATTAATTTCTTCAACGTCCATTTTGTTATACAAAACTGATTTGATCATATAACTATCGATATCCGATCAACAAATTTTTTTACAGGCATGTAGTATCCAACGAGTTCTATGCATTGCACAGTTCAGATTATCAAAACGAGACCCGTGATGAGTCCTCACGGGCTGAACAACACTGTCCTGTGCAACTTTTTTTAGCACCGCCGGGTAAAATTTGTAGCATCAGTTGACAGTGTACCATCACTGCAAACTGTCCTATGTAACAGCATTGTCATGATTTTATATATATATATATTGTTTTGTAAATAGTGATACTTTTTTACTTTTTATCTTATTTAAGACATGTCAAATCAGACCTTAATTTTATAATATTTTGTTTCTACCTACGTGAATCATTTATGTTGTCGACTTATATATCCGGCCCACTGGCCCGAGTCCATTAACCCCTAACAAATTTACTCATCTTTGAAGCTTTTCTTTGTACTTTCAACTCAATTTTTTTTTCTTTATTAAATTTTTAAAATTTTAATTAAATATTTTTACTTGAAGTTCAAAAAAATTTAAAAAAAAAAAAAGAAAAAGAAAAAGAAAAAGAAATTCAAACCCGACCTGAGCAGTTGGCCTTCGAATTCCACGGAATATAAATTTTGAATGGGATTGAAATAAAACTTGACAATAACACCTTTCATGAGACCATGAGCCTTAGTAAAACCACTCCATTGGCCTTGCAACCTTTTTTGCTTCTCATCATTCTTTATCGCCACCTCAAACACCCATTTTCTTCCAGTTTGATCCTTTACAACCACCACTTCTTTGTTTTCTTCCGGTAAATTAGTTGCGTAACGCGGTACCTCCAAGATGGTTTTGGTAGCATCTGACATCGAGAGTGTCTTCTCAAAGCAAAAGTACATTGTTGAACTCATTCTCCAAGTCCTAATCAAATTAAAAAGATGTTTTAATTAATTAAAAGTATGTATGTATGTATATGCGAAGAATAACAACATAAATTAATCCAAAAAAGGAAACCAAAAAAGGTACACATGTGTTTTGAGTTCTCACGTTATAAAAACAAACAAAAGATCAATTGATAAAAAAAGGGCCGACAGTATACTAAAGCCAAAATATAAAGCTGACTGACTGGTAAGAGAGAGAGAGAGAGAGAGAGAGAGAGAGAGAGAGAGAGAGAGAGAGATTAGTTACATACTCTAACCTTTGATTTGCTTTGAAAGATTTGAGTGAGTGAGTGGTAAGCGAGGTTAGTATTAATGGAGAGAGTGGTGACCTTAATTTCATGCTGTTAATTAATTAGTTTATTGTTTTGATGGGGTCATGTCGTAGTGACAATGTGAGTGAGTGAACTTAACCAGTTTTGATGGGGTCATTTTGATGTGATGTCTTAATTAGTTTTTTATTAGTTAAAATAATGTGATTCACTATTTTTTTTTGTTGCATATTGAAAAAAAAAAAAAAAAATTATTAGAAAAGAAGTGATAGTGTCAAAAAATTAGATTCCCTTTTAAAATTTAATAATGTGATGGGTGTGGCTATTATTGGGCCAAATCTCAAGGTCTAACCTATCATCTCACTTACACACTATTAAATTAAAAAAAAAAATTATAAAAATACTAAATTCATATATTATTTTCCTATAAATAATGTGGAGTATTATTTTAAAATCACTAAATAAACTGTCACGTGGGTGCTTATGTCAAAACTAATTACTTGCAATTATTATTATAATAATAATAATTTAAAAACGACAATATTGGCTTTTTTTTTATGGGATCTGCATGGTCTTCAATACAAGAATAATATGAAACTTGTTAAGATAAGTTACATTAATTTTTCTTGAAGTTTAATGATATAAATCTTTCTTAAAGTTTAGTTTTCAAAATTTCTAAAATGACAGGTTTGATTTTTTATTATAAAATCTCTCATCTATTATTTAGATGTTATCAATCATTGTGTTAGATTAGTCTATTCAGAATTTTAATCTAATTTTAATTGGATCCCTACTAGTGGACGGTGAGATTAATCCTTCAAAAATTAGTCGATATATGCATAAATTGATTCGAACACTAAATATTAAATAATAATAATAATAATAATAATAATAATAATAATATTATATTGACTATCATTTAAAGTCATGCATGAATCGCACACCCTATTTGTCAATTGAAAATCTCAGTGAATCTATACCATGTGAGGTTTGGTCATTTACCCCACATCTAAATTTTACTGTGAAAAAGACATATTTATAATAAATATAAAATAAATTCCTTCCCTGTAAAACTAGAGTTTTAGTTGAGTTCTAGTGATATGAAAAAAAATAAAAAAATAAATAAATAAATAAATAAAAAATTGTCAAAATATCACATCAAATAAAGCCTATACATAAATTAAAACTATTAGAGCTATTAAAATTTTTCAAATAAAAGAATATAATAAACGTAATGAATTGAAATATGCTGTTGTTTAGTTTTGTTGTTGAGATTTGGCAAAGAAAGCAAATCACGATGTTGTCAAAAACACGATGTTGTCAAAAAGAACATTATTGGCTGCTTGACTTTTATTTTAGTTGAGGGTTTGTTTGGAAATTAAATTTTTTAGTGATTTTTTAAAATTTTATAAAAAGAAATTTAAAAGAATAGATAGAAAGAATTTAATTTTGGATAGATTACGTTGATAGTCCTTATACATTTCTTCTTATGTCATTTTGATCATTATAGTTTTAATTTGCACGAGTTTGACCTTCAATCTTGAGGGGCAAAAGAGACATTTCAATCTTATCCCTCCGGTCAAGCATCTCTGTAACATCCACCACCACGTGCTCCTCATCCACCGTCCATTGTCCACGCCATCACCACGCATCGCCGCCACCCGCCACCAAACAAAACCACCAATCAAAAATCAAAAATAAAAATCAAAAGAACAAAGCAGGGGGATTTTTTGTTCGCTAATTTCACCGCCCGTCGTTCACTAATCCTCCCGCCTCATTCCTCCTTCCCCCACAATACTGGAGCCAATTTCACTTCAAGCATATGTCTAGAGAAGAACTATTGCGATTTCAGTAGGTAATTCTTGTTTCTTAATATAAATGCAGCCTGCTATCAGCAGAAACATCAATAGGTTGCATTGTTGTTCTTTAATTAGCCTTCTCAATTACAAGCACAAGACGATACTGCTCCTGTTCCTCTACCCTCAGCAACCCCTGTTTCTCTTCCCCTAATTTCTGTCTCTCTGGTCATATGGATGAGAAGATAGAGCCAAATTGGAGTGAAATTATCATTTCACCCTTGAAAATGAAGCATGCGCGGCTCTTATGCATTTATTCGGTTAAAAACTGTAATGGAAGTCATTAATTGGACCAAAATAAGACAAGATTAAAAATTGAAGGTCAAAATCGTATAAATTAAAAGTATATGGACCAAAATGACACAAGAAATAAAGTATAAGGACCATCGGTATAATTTATCCTTCAATTTTTGTATTAACTTTTTATTTTTATTTATTTATTTATTTATTCTGATTATTTTAACTTGTTTCCAAATATCCCTGAAGTCCAAGATAAACCACCCACAAGCCACCCCAATGGCCACTTCACTTCTTTCTGCAAAAAAGTATACTCATCTATGGCTATGTTTGTAGGGGATTAGATTGGTAATCCTGTGGACTTTACGTAACTTATGTTTGGTTGGTAAAAATGAAATGGTACTAATAATCATATGGGACTATAAATCCCTTCATATGGCAGGGTTAACATTTCTATGGAGATGACTTTGTTGTTTTTGTAAAGTGGAGATAAAATGGCCTTTTACATAATTTTATAAATTTAATTGCAACTAACTAATACTATTACGATAGTACATAATAAATACATTTTATCTTATATTTCTAACTTAAAATTCTGACACAGATCGGCCCTAATATGTAGAAGATCATAGATCTTTTACTGAGTATATCTACTCAAATTTTGTTCTTCAAAATATAGATATTTATACATGTATACAAGAAAGAAAATGAGATTGTACCTCAAAATTTTCATTACTGCAATAATTGATAGTGATGGTGGAAGTGAGAGTGGTTTTTTTCTTGAGAGTGCAATCACTAATTGGTTCAAGGCACATGGACAAATTAGTCTAAAAAATTATGAAAGTATAAAATATGGGAGAGCTTCTATTTATACACAATCATTTTTTTCAGTTCATACCATTTTCTATTCACATACTAACAATCAAACAAAAGTTAATTGTTTAGATATCTATTACCGAGCAAAAACTAATTTGTTTTGATGTTAAGTACTAAACTGAGTCTTGAGTTATAACTCAAGTGGTCATGAAGAGGGATTTAGGAGCTTGGGTGAGGTTTCGAGTTCAAGTATATAAAGAAACATTAGTCCGTGTTGTAATTTAACTTCTAACATATTAGTGCTATCTTTCTGCAAAAAAAAAAAAAAAACACAACAAATGGTGTAAATTGAGAAGTTTTATGGTGTGCATATACAAGTTCACAAACTGTGGACTTAATCTTTGAAATTTTATAAATTATTGGACTTTATGCATTAAAATATGTTGGAGTGTCATTCCTAACTGATGTCATTATATTGAGGGAGTTTTCAGTAAAATTTTCAACAAAAAAATAAAAAATAAAAAATAGATTGATTCGATAATCGTAATCTTTTATTTTATTATATATATATATATATGGAGATTCTTATAAAATGAACAATTTAAATCATCGAATTGGGACCTATAATCTCAAGTTCTCTCAAATTCATAGTTAAACTTGAAACAACCAAACCATATTGATAAATGTTGCATTTGTCTTTTCATTGTTTGAAACAGCATGAATTTTATGCTATAGTTCTTTTGAGCCAATTTTTGTTTAGAATTTGTTTAATGTAATATTATTAATTTTTACAATTAAAAAAATTAAATTTTAAGTAAACTAAATTTTCAAGAAAAATTTAATTTACTTAAAATTTATTATAAAAATATTTTTAATTATTTCAATTAAATAATTTTTCATAAAAAAAATATAGATATCTGTGATTTTCATTTTGGTTTTGGACTTTTTAGATAGTTTATCCCAAAAAAAATCATAGTTTGAAACAATAGAAAGTGATGAATTTTATGGCGGTCTTTTTGCTCAAATTTTTGTTCTGAATTTTTTTAATATAATATTCTTAATTTTTATAATTTAAAAATATAATTTTAATTAAACTAAATTATTCATAAAATTATTATTCGTATTAAAAGAGTAATATTGAAATAAAACATATCATTATAAAAAAAATAAATCATGTAAAAAATAATTTTTAATTCTAAAACTCAATTGTTCACAATAAATTTGATAAGAATTAAAATAATTTTAAAAATAAAATAAAATTTATTGATATTTTATTTAAGGCCACCTATTTTATGGTCGCGGTTGCGGTCGCGATCCCCATCCGTTATAAAAGGGTGTCTTGTTCATGAATTCAATAGTTTATATGCAAGTAAGGTTTTAAAAAGCAGTCGCAACTATTACGTAACGCCGTTACGTAACGGTTTTGACGGTTACCGCTACTCGTTACGGCCGCTTTTGTAGTGTGATTGAGATTCACAGGTGTGTCGGTTGTAGCGGCTGCCGTAGTGGTTGTAACGGCGCCGTAATAGTCGTAACGGCCTGTTACGCATCGTTACGTAACGATTCCAAATTGTTTCTTTCGAAAAAACACAAAAAAAAGCTGAAAATTGGAGAAGATGGAGAGAAGAGGGAAGATAAAAAGAGAAAATGGAGGATCAAGAGATAGAGAGAGAGGAGGGAAGATGAAGAACATGTTATTGATTTGTTTAAGCTGTATAACCTATGCTATTCTATTCAACTGCTATCACTAAACCATTTTGTTTGTGTGTGTCTATCTAGA